GCAAGTTGTTAAAATCACCATTTCACTGTTACTTGCAGTCTCTAGCTCCAGGTGAGCTGACTTGGGCTGTATCTCTCAAAAGAGCCTGTTTCCTCCGATTTTCAAGATGGCAGCTGCCCTATAACCTCGCTTTCCTCCAAGGACAGTGATTTGTTTTTCATTTTCCCAGATTTCTGTTATTGTAAGGACAAGAATGATGACTTCTAAGCTCTTTACATGTTGGAGATGAAACTTGAAGACTTAGTTTTATTACCTTTTAATCAGTCCTCCATGGGACCTTTCTTTAGAACATAAAGTACTTCCATTCTTCCTCAGATTTGTGGCTGCAGCCAAAATTTCAAGACATTAAAACAAAACAAAACCTTTTTTTCCATTTGCTATCCTGTAACACATATTTACGTAACTAGTACGGAGTACTTGGCAATGTGCATGAAACATAATAGGCTCTCAGTACATATTTTTGAAAGAAAAAAAGAAAGAGAGGAAGAGAGATAGGAAAAGGAGAAGAAAAAATTTGAAGGAGAAAGAGAAAAACAGGAAGCCTAAAGAGATAGAGTGCCAAGATTTAAAATTTAACAAAAATGTTATCACCACAAATGGACTGTATAACAGAGCACTGAATACTAACATAAGGTGGTAATTCAAAGCAGGGCAATATAAATTTTAAAAATGTATACTAAAAAAGGAGTTAGGCAAACATTTTGAGATTACAAAGTGTTAAAAGAGTATTTATTTTGTAAAAATCCGTATCTTTAAGCAATTCAACTTCCCTACATGAAATATCAAAAATAACTTTAACATCTAAGGGGATAAAAGTGAATATAAATAGAATTTCAAATTAATGTAGGGAGAAGGTAGAAAGGAGGGTCAGGAGAGGCTAATGGCTGCCATTTTTGCTAATACTAGACCCCAACCCCTTAGACATGTAAGCTGCTGCCCAGGGCCACCAAAGGATGGATAACTCAGGAAATAGAATGCCTTATAAATTGTTCAAACTTACCTTTTTGTGACAACTATTTATGATTAACTTTTATGACCTGACCACAAGACAATGCTGGTCCCGAAATCCCATTTCCTAATGGGGTTTTTGCACGACACATAAACATGTTAACATGGCCTTGTGAGGAGCCCCTGACTGCTGGAAAGGACCCTTCTCTGTCTGGGGGGTAGGCCCTATCATCTCACTCTCCCTTAATAGACTTTGTTTGTTTTTTTGACTTTCTGTTGCTAGTTGATTCACTCTTGACTTCTTTCCAGCACAAAGCCAAGAACCACTTGGCATGTTCAGGACCTTTCCTCCCTTCACTGGGGCAACCATCGCATCAAAATGATGCCAAACTCATGGCCGCAAACCAGAGGTTCAAGGTCAGAGTTTAGGGGGGACACAGTGGAAACTGAAGACTGGGTATTAGCAGGTACCAACCCCTGCATTAGATCTTTCATAGGCCTTACAACAGTCATATGAGGAATTGCAACCATTTCCACATTTGGGGAAAGGGTCTCAGAGAGTTCAAATCTCCACCCTAAGTTGCACAGCGAAGCTGATTGGAATCCACACCTGTGAGGTGAGAAAGCCTGTAGCCACGGTTACTCACGCCTACTTTCCCACGCTTAGAAGTCTCCGTAGGCCTTAGAGTTGTGGCTGCTGTAATGAAAGTATACCCTCCAGTCTCCCTTGCACTGATTAGCCATATTTGAGGATATTGTTGTGTGGCAGCTTCTAGAAATACTCTTAAAAGGCAAATTGGTGCCCTGGTGCCTTTCTTCTTCATCTCTACCTAAGTCTCCCACTTCTTTCTTAACTGTGGTGATGACAGCCATACTCCTGGGATGGCAGAACAAGGATCCATCAGTCAGTACTTGGGTCCCAGGGACTTCACAGAACAGACTCCAGAAATAGGTGACATAGTCACTGTGGACTTTCACCCAACAAGAGCACACTTTTACAGTGCTTAGATCATTGTTACACAGGGTCCCTGTTACAGCTCATATAGAATTCAGTGTCCTGCAGGGGACACTGCACAGAACAGAAGTGGACATACATAGTCTGATAGCATCACACATTTCCCCTCTCTCTATCCCATTAGGTGGGAGGGGAAATGTGTGCAGAATTTTACTGATCTATGGAAATCTGGTAATACTTGTTTGGCAGTGGAAACATTAGGTTCAAATGGCTCTTACTTGACCTTAGAAGATGTATTATCTGCTGGGTATGGATATAGTGTGACAGGGAAAAGGTAAGGCAAATTCAGAGTTTTGCTGTAGCTTGTGTGTTCTTGTTGCTTTAATCAGAGCCACACAGAGGAGACCTCAGGCTGGAGAGCACTGTGGGCTAGTGGAGGCGTGAAGGAGCCCCAGCTCTCTCATCGCATGCTCAACTGGCTGACAGGTGACAATTTGGAGCTTTGGAGGGTTGAAACAAACAACACTCTTGCCCTCTGTGCCTTGAGAAGTGAGGGTCCCAGCCAACAGCCTCAGGACAAGGGAGACTGTGGTCTTAACTCTTTCCCCCGTATCTTCCATTAAGGGTTATTTGCCAGATTTGGGTGTGATCCAGTGCAGCAACATCGAGTGAGGGGTGGGTGCAGCCTTTTCTCTACACTGTGACTTCAGATGGTCCCAATCACGTTTCCACTACACTGAGAGACAGGGTGGCAGGCGTGAGCAGAGCAGGTGCCGGTTACGGAGCACAGGCATCAGGCTCAAAGGTTTATCTAAGCAAGACCTTTGGCAGTGGTTTAAATGCCAAGACAGTGGGATGAATCAGATACACCAGAAGCCTCCTGAGTTATTGGAGCAAATTGCATTGCCAAAGCAAAGAGGACAGACTTGAAACAGGCTGTAATTCCAGTTTGAAACTCGACTATCTGTATAGGCGTGAGAAAGGATACAGGTTGCATAGCTTATCTCAGGTGTGGCCTCAGAATATATTGAACAACAAGAATCCTCCAGGCGGTGGAGGGCAGTAGACAAGAGGGAACCTCACAGAGAAGCAGGATGTGCTGCCCTAGAAGGGGAGCCCTTGGGATTACTGCCCAGCAACATCCCCCGATTGCAAATCATCTGTGCGCTCCCTCTGCCCACTGCCTGGTTTTCAATGGAAGGTCTTTCTCTTCCCTTCCGACCACTCTCCTCTCTTCTCTTCCCCTTCTCTGCATTCCCCTCCGCTCTGTGGTCCTCCCTGTCCTTCCTTTCCCTCTTTCTAGTCCCAACTCTCCTGCTTCTCATGCTCCATTGAGTGTGTTGAAGGTAAATCACTGCCTTTCACCGTCTTGGTCATTAGCCAGGAAGAGCTGTATCAGGATGTACAGGAAGGCTCTGCCCAGCACCACGAACCCTGAACTTCCTGTGGCATGAAGGGGGCTGGGCAGAGGTTTGAGTTCTGGGCTCTGTCGGGCAAGAAGAAAATGCACAAATATCTGAGAAGACTGTGGCAGAAAGTGTGAGTTGGCACCCGACACCTGCACTTACCTTTTCTATGATGGTGGAACCCTGGCCTCTTCCTGGCTCAGGGCAGTGCAGGACAAAGACCACACTCCTCAGCAGCCGTCGCAGATCAGTTCAGTCACAGGACTAATTCTGACCACCAAGATGTGGTGTTTGTGGGGTGTGGAATGTGCATGCATTATCCTGAAGTGCATGGGGGTGCCTCCTGCCCTCTGGCTTCTTGTGGGCAGGAATGTGAGTGTAACGGCTGAGGTCTTGGTGGCCACTGTAGACCACACTCATCAGTGGTGTTTAGGATGAGAGCCTCCCAGCCACTGACGGGCACGGGAGCCTGGGTGCCCAGCACCGTGGAGCACCTATCACCGTCAAAAGCTCCCTCAAGACTCCCTAAACCTCAGGAGCACAGCTCTACTTTCGTCAAGCTCTTGTCACATTGAGTGGTTTGGGTCCCCACAACTGAACGTAATCCTGACGGAGTGAGCAGCCTTGATGCAGAAAGACCCACTAGGAAGCTGCTGTCCTGGTGGGCAGCAGATGAGAAGAGCCAGACCAAAGGCAATGGCAGGGTGGGGAGAGGCAAAGTGAGGGCAGGGCCCTACACCTGGGTCTCTGGCTTGGACAATGTGGAGGAGCAACAGGCAGGGCCAGAGTCCACAGAGGAGTCACAGAGTGAGGGATCCGAGGACGGAAACTAAGATCTGAGCAATGCAAGGAGCGAGCAAAGCAGGAGGCCGGCGGAGGTGTCACAGGGCCAAGGACAGAAACTGAGATCTGAGCAATGCAAGGAGCGAGCAAACAGGGGGCTGGGGGGTGGAGGTGTCACAGGGCCACGTGCTGAGAGTTGAGTAGTGTCAGGCGTGAGAAGAGAAATACAAGTGTAATGAGGAATAATGAAATCCGAGGGGATCATTCCCACCAAATCACTGTGACGTGGTGGACATGCTGGCTGGACGGCTTATGCACGAATGTGAGTCTAACAACTGGGCCAATTAGCCCAGGTTGCCTTTTAAATGGCGTTACTAGAGGAGAGAGCGAGGTTCTTGTAAAGTCTGTTGACTTTTATGTTTCACACAGTCTCTGGTGTATTTGTAGGGTTTAGGCGAGCAGCTCTGGGTGGAGAGGGTGACCTGAGGGAGGGAACCTTGGGCAAAGCCCCAAAGGCATTGAGGGGAGCACCATCTGCAGCTCCTCCTGGAGCAGCTCCCCTGAGGCTGAATGGAAGAGAGAAGGTGGGGGTGGAAATCAAGGCCTTGGGAGGTGCCCCTGGGGGAGCTGAGGGTGTTAATACTTTACGGCTTCAATTTTCTTGTCATTCAAGAGAATGACACTCTTGAAAAGCAGGTGCCAGTGCTATGGTGGGCTGGAAGGCCACCACAGGCACCGGGGGCAAGAAGCAAACAGCCACACAGAAGGGGGTGACGGGCCCATCTGGCTTTGCCAGGAGGCCTGGTGCATTTCAGGTCTATCCTGCGCAAAATCCAACGGGGCTAGAGATAGACAGGAGGTGTGCCAGTGGAGCGCTCGGTGATGCCACGGGGCGGAGCGGCTCTCACCGTCCTCCCCGCTGCGCAGGGAGTGCTGACGCACACTCAGCACCTGCAGCACGGACACGCTGAGCACACGGGACAGAGCCCGCTGCTCTCTCACCCTCACAGGCAGCTTCCCCAATGGGGAGCACCAATGGCTGATGCACTTACTGTGGGTTGGGGAGGCGGATCCAGAGGTTATTGGGGAGGCAGATCCAGACCAGAGGCCTTCCTCCATGGCCCAGATGTGGTTTGCTCACCGTCAGCAGCCTGGAAGGGATGTGAATGGGGAACACTTGGATAAACTTGAGACAGGTCACTACTCTGCAAATGTGAAGGGCCTACACTGCCACATCCTCTCTTCATGGAGCTGTTCTGGGGACAGGTTGCCTCATGTCAGTTTTTGTTGGGTGGCCCAAGTTTTGGTTATGATTTTCTCAAGTGCTGACTCTCAGAGGTTGGAATTAGAAGTTTTCAAGGGTCTCCAGTTCATTCTGCCTCCAAGATTCTGACTTCATTTGACAAAGTGTGACTGTCTCTGTGTTAGGACGCTAAGGAGTATGAGGTCTTGTGTGGCCTGGGTTTCCTTTCCTAGCTTGGCGTCTATATCTACTATGGACTGAATGTGTACGTCCCCCTCAAATTTATAAGTTGAAGCTTTACTCTCAACTTTATTAGAAGGTGGGTGCTTTGGGGAATAATTAGGGTTAGATGAGGTCAAAAGAGCAGGGCTCTCGTGATGGGACTGCCGTCTTTAGAAGACGAAGAAAGATCTCTCTCCCTTCCTCATTCCCTCAGTGCACTGCGAGGAAAGGCCATATGAGGACCAGTGAGAAGCTAGTTATCCATAAGCCCTCACCAGAAATCAATCAGCCTGCACCTTAGCCTTGAACTTCCAGCTTCCAGAATTGTGAGAAATAAATTTCTATTGTTTAAACCACTCAGTCTGTGGTATTTTATTATGGCAACCCAAACTGACTGAGACAGAATCACAACATACAACTACCACCCAGGGCAGTGCCTGTGGCTTAGTGGGTAGGGCGCTGGCCCCATATACCGAGGGTGGCATGTTCAAACCTGGCCCCAGCCAAATTGCAACAACAAAAAATAGCTGGGCGTTGTAGTGGGCACCTGTGGTCCCAGCTACTCAGGAGGCTGAGGCAAGAGAATAGCCTAAGCCCAAGAGCTGGAGGTTGCTGTGAGCTGTGATGCCACGGCACTCTGCCGAGGGTGACAGAGTGAGAGTGTGTTTCTTTAAAAAAAAAAAAAAGATTGTGGCCATACATTTTTACCAAGCCAAACTCCATTAAAAAAAAATTAAAACAAGAAATTTAGTGGGAATATATAGAGGGGCCAGTGTCCATCTCAGGGTACCACCCTGGCCCTATAGCTGTTCCTCAGGCTTGGTTTGGTGCTGGGCTTCATTAGGATTTAATTCCAAAAGGAAATGGGTATAAGACACATGCTAAGAACACTCCTCTGAGGCATTAAATCACCTTCTTATTTATTGCCATCTAGAATCCTCTAATTTACATGTGGTCTCTTCTCCTAGAAGCGCCTCAAGTAAATCTGAAGTTGTTTAGACAATTTTATGGGTATTGTAAAACCGCAATTGAATTTCAGGCCTTTGGAGTAGTCCAGCCAAGATGCACTCCAATTAGAAATAATTGCTGCTAATGCGGTTATGATGTGGTGGGTGCCCACTGTGCCCCACTGAATCCCCCAAGAGTGTCTTCTTTATTCTTCAACTAAATAGACAGGCCCCTAGAATATACGCTTTTGGAATTGTAAGATAGGAGCAATATTGTGCTTCTCTCTTAATTAACCTTGTTAAGTGAGGATTTGGAACACCAGTTGGTTAGTCTAAGAGGGTCTTTGATCCTCTGAGTACACATTTACAGTGGAGTAAGATGTCACTCTGTGAATTAAAGCACCCTCATCCTTTGGCATATACCAAGCAACTTTCATCATTTCTTGAGAAATGATGTGATATTCTTGTTTAATGAAATAATGTCTGTAAAGTGCTAGGCACAATGAAAGTTATTATTATTACTATAAAACTACTTTCAAGAATGGCTTTCTGAATAGACTGAACACAGGGCAGAATTGTTGGAATTGTGCAAGGTACTCAAGCTACATCAGCCCCCCATAGGTTCTGGAGTCCACACTGCCTGAATCTGTTGCCCCTCTGAGAGCGTCTTACCCTCCAGATATTCAAACTCTCTATTCTTCTTCCCCATCCTGACAGTTCTTTATTTTATCTATCTTCTATTTGTCTAGCTTTTGTTCTCTCTCTCTTTTTTAAAGTTAGCATCATACAAGATATTCATGCAAAAAAATTTGTACCCCTTTTATTTTGAAATAAAAGTAAAAATCAATCTGTCGATTCTCTTGACTCTCAGAGGGCCTCCCACAGTCCCCCAACTGCCCCCACCACAGTGGGGGAGGGGACAAAGGCTGCTGTCCCTCCTGCAAGGCGGGTGCCCAGACCAGCTTGGGAAGGGCTTCCAGGGACATGATAATTAACATATTTCTCTTAATCTTGCTTTTATAGTTAATCTCCAAAGCATGAAAGCCCTTTGTCAGTTGATTAAACTGTGAGAATATAATAGATAGAAAGTGAGGGCAGCACTGGTGAATACAAATGCATAAAATTGCACATTCTGTAAAAAATACCTCAGTCTGAATCCTAACTTGAAACATTAAGTTAAATGCTTAAAATTAGCCACATGAGTATGTTTTGGATTAATAAGGTGGCAGTAAATCTAACTGGCCAGAATTTCTTTCTTCTTTTCTGGGAGTTGGGTCTAGGATCGCTGCCTATGTGGTCACTCAGGGAATGCTCAGAGAAGCTCCATGGACACCATGGCCCCTGTAGCCTGGAGCTAGATGGCCTCTTGCTCTGAGCATCCAGGCCACTCATAAGGAAGCATTTGCATAGCTGCTTTGGAAACAAGGTCATAGGGCCTTTTCTACAGTAGGTGCTGCAGGTTCCAAGGGGCTGATGCTGAGAGCAAGGTGATGGTAAACACAGAGCCATGTGTCTTGTGCAGAGGGCGCCGCAGCCAGACATTCCTCTGTGTGTGCCGCTCATCCCTCAGCCCTGCTCCTCAGGGCTGACTCCCCCACACCTCCGGCTCCTTTCAGCCACCTCCCCAATAACCAAGCTCTGGGCAGCTCACGAGAGGGGCTTATCACTCTCTTGTATCTGGTGCAATTGGAAAATGACAAAATGGGCTGTCTTCATTTTTGTGGGGGGTGAGGGAGAAAAACACTAAAAAACAAATCTCTAGAGACAAGATGATACAAACGTTATTTTTTATATTGTTTGAAAATTCTAGTCAGGATAACAGACTGAGAATGGCACTTGTGGCCTGCAGATATATTTTATGTTGCATAAAATACTTTGTTCATGGAAACAAGCCATATGTAGTGTTGGGTATCAGACGACGCCAGTCACAGAGCGTCTCTCTAGCACCTTCTTTTGGCCAGTGAAGCCATCCATTACGTGGAAGATGTCCAAGTAGTCGGTTATGAGCAGTCCCACCTTGACGGGCAAGAAGCTGAAGAGAAGACAAGAGTAAACGTTCTTGCTTACCGTTCATAAACGCACCTTTACCAGCTCAGCTGCAAAGCAGGGTCACCTCCTGTTGTACCTGGGGTCATTCCCTCCTGCACATGTTATTCTCTCTGCCTTAGGGCTGCCCACCTCAGGGTGATGCGCCCGTCTACTGTATAGGGGGACAATTGCTCGGGGCCTTCACAGCTGTGCTGGCTTTACTTAAATTATTCAACTGACTTTGCATTTTCGTTTCCAAAGTGTCCCTACACTTCCAGAGAAGCGGCACTGAGGTCTTGTGGAGTGGAAGCAGGCTTTGGAGGCAGCAGGCCCAGCTGGCATCTGAGCTCCGGCCGCTGACGTGGCCTGCAGGCCTTAGTTCCCTCCAGTGTAAAATGAAGTTGCTGACTTTCCTTACCGGGACGATTGCCACGATGAGACCCAAGAGCTCCTTACATCTCTGGCAACACTGAGCTGAGGCTGCACATCTTCTCCGTCCCACCCAGCCTCCGCAGCCCTGTGCACACACGGTCTTTAACTGGACAGGGCACTCTGACCCACTGACCTCGAAACTCAACACTACAGAGCCAGGAATGAGCAGGCACAGGCAAGCTGGGCCGTGTCCTGAGCAGGGGAAAGAAGGGACCCCAGGCTCTCTGTCCCTTTCTGGCACCCCAGGATCTCCAGGGGTTCGTGCCCTTCCCCTCTTCAGGTCTAAGGCCAAGTGCTACCTTCCTGGTAAGACCCCTCCCTTCTCCTGAACACCATACTTAAAATTAAAGCTCAGCTTGCGACCCTCTACCTACCACTCCTTTCCCTGGCTTTGGATTCCTTCAGAGCACTTTTGACCTTAGCTTTTACTCCACTTGTTTGTTTTTCTCTACCCTGGCACTCTCCATAGGGCGGGGACTGCTGTCTGTCTTGTTCTTTGCTGTCACCCCAGACCCTAGGACGGCGGGGAACACCGTGACACACACAGCACAACCCAAATGTTGTTGAATGTTTGAAGGAGTGTTTGACGTGATCCCCTTCAGAGAGCTTATAGCCTTCTCAGGAAATACCCATCCCTCTCTCAAAATGTGGCACAGAACTAATATGTCACAAAGTAAATATAACCTCCACAATTACTCAAAGTGGAAAAATTAAGCGTCATATTCTCACTGTTGGCGTTACTATCCTATAATCTGCTATTATGCTATGAATACACACTTTGCCCACCAACTAGGGGATTAAACTACAAGCTGTGACAAACATCGTCTTCACGTCGTAAGTGAGGAAACTGAGGAAGAGAGAATGAAGGGCATGCTCAGAGTTACGGATGCCATAAATAGTGGGATCATAAAGCCAGACTTCAAACACTTGTCAAAACCCTTCTCCCCGCCCCACACAGCTTCTCCCAGCCACACTGACCCCTCTTGTGCCACGTGAAGCCTGGGAAAGCAACAGGATGCAAGACTCATTTGGTTCATTATATAAAGTAGATGGAATTAGTTGACAGGAAAAGAAATTTCTATGTACAGGACAAGCAATGGCTGCTCCCCTGCCCTGTGGTGGATATGTTCAAATAAATGAAAAATTGTCACCGTCGAGAGGTATGGAATTACAGAGAGCTGTGGGACAAAGCTGGAAGCAATGAGAGTTAAAACAAGACCGATTTCAACTCAGCAGAGAAGGGGTCCCCTAACGGAAGGCACTTCCTTACAAAGCAGAAACCCCTATGAGAAGAAGTAGCCTTAGATGCTCCTTCTTGTCTAGAAAATAGATGAGATTGCACGGATTGGCAGCTGCTCCAGAAGTTCAGCACCCCCGTGCCTCTCACTGGGTCAAAGGTTCAGAAATGTATCTGATGCATTTTAGCATTGAGACCCAGTGTGGGGTAGGGGAGGGCGGGCAGTAATACTCTCCTGTGCTTTTAAGAGGTGTTTTTCTTTGCAGTTTATTTCCTCTCAAGGTCTCTAACCACCCTGCAGCTCACACTTACCCTCTTTCCATTTTTACCCATACCACACACTTCTGAGGCACTTGACTTGCTGTTGGGCCACGACACAGTCTCCACCCCATCAAGATTGCTTATGATGAACACCAGGAAATCTCTCCCAAAGAATCATGAATCATTTCAGTCTTTCCACATCATTTAGTAAATCTACTTCTTTTTCTTCTTCTTCTTCTATTTTTTTTTTTTTTTTGCAGTTTTTGGCCAGGGCTGGATTTGAACCTGCCACCTCTGGCATATGAGGCCAGTGCCCTACTCCTTTGACCACAGCCACACAGTAAATCCACTTCTTTTTGACAACAATGCAATACTGAAGTGGCAGGAAGGTTCCAGCCCCATTTTCTTGACTCACAAGGGGGCAACTATGCAAACTGGGGGTTGTATTTGCAATGGGCACAATGATGGGATCAATAGGACTTAAGAGATTTTCTCTTTTAAAACTCATTAATTTAACAGATTTTTTTAAGGTGGCTCCTCATGGTGGGATTTGGTATAAACAGTTGATTGCTTGATTGGCAGAGTGGGGAAATAATAGAAACTAATGTTATTACCTCTTTAAAAACACCATGAAATATAAAAACTTTGGCAGGTACAAGTAAAGTTTTTCTTGCAGAATAGCATCGACTATTTTTCTGACTGCATATTCTGGATCCAGAATTGGCAATAAAGAAGGACAGCTAGGGTATAAAAACACACACAAATAAACAAAACTGAAATTAATACAAAAAATTTTTCCAATTGGAGATGAATAGGATGCAAGACATTACCACTTCTCCCCCTTGCAGATTTGCTCCCTTATTATCAATGCATAGAGTAATAACATAACTAGAATTTGAAATGGAAAATGACGATTCCAGTCAAGGCAAGGATGTTAACAACACACATAGCATTATATGCAAAACCATATTACACAAACGTGCTAAATGTTTGTAAAACAAGCTGTTGAAAACATTACCTGCCGTCTCCATGAGATTCAAAATTGACTGTATGTTTGCATTCCCCACCAAGATTCCCAACTATGACAGCATCTGGAGATGTGGCGAGTTAATTACATCTTGAGGGAGGAGCCCTCACAAACAGGATCAGTGCCCTTACGAGAGCGCCTGCTGGCACTGTGATCTTGGGCTTCTAGCCTCCAGAACTGTGAGAAGTATTAATAATTTGTTGGTTATGTCTCCTAGTGTACAGCACTCTGTTTTAGCAGTCCCTTTAATATGACTAAGACAGAGCTCCTTCATTGAATTTCAGTCCTTCTGGAATCAGAGAAGGCGGCAGAACGGGATAGGGTGGCAGGAAAGGGAGGGGGCTGGGAAGACGGAGAAGGAGACCTGGGGCCCAGGGTGGACACCGCCCTGATAAACCATCTGCATTCAACTCTGTATCCTACACACAGACACATAGAAAGACAGAATTATGAAACCATTTATAAATCAGGCTGAATCATAGAAAAATAGCTTTTAAAAATAACATTAAAAAAACAGATAAAACAAAATCAAATAGCCAATCATTTTTAAGAATGTCTTTTCTTTGCGATCAAAGGACATACTTACCCAGTGGTACAACCTTCAAACATTCCAGTTTTTATGAAAAATGGGCACACAATTGTGGTCTTTATTCCCTTTTGTTTTTGAGCAAATGTTTCTACAAACATAGATTCAGCAAATCCCAAGGCTGCAAATTTACTTGCACAATAATCTGAAAAAGACAAGCACTGAGCATGTGTATTCCCAGGTTTTAAAACGGCCTTCCATTAAAGTTGACTTATAACACAAACAGTGACAGAGAATGGGCACCAGTGTGAGTTCTCCTTTTGTATAATCTTGGTCTCCTCCCATTGGAAGGAGTGAGCAGGGAGTGGGAAGCGATATGGCCAACTGAAGGTAAGGCCAGGTGGACCCCAGGACAAGAAGGGCTGCAGAGATGCTTCTATAAGTCACCCTGCTAAACTTTACATACAAAATCAGAATCGGCAGCCCTGGTGTTACCTGTTACAGGGGGCACAAGATGTGTGTTCAGCCCTGTCTCAAAAACCTGCAACCCCATTGGAGCTTGAAGGCATACGAGAGAAGAAATAAAATAAGAAGCCAGTCATGGTTCTCAGATCAAGTTTTCTTTCGACTATCACTCTTCCACCTCCAGAGGGAAAAAAGGACTTGGTAGCGTTAACCTCCACCTCTTAAATGCCTTGAAAATGCAGGGGGCGGGGGAAGCAGACTGCACATTTATGTGTTTTGAAGTGTCCTTAATCAGTTATTTCAAAAACACAACCTGAGTATTGAATTCACTGAGTGAAACAATTTGGAGAAGAAATGGGGTTTGGGGGGATCAGAGCTTTCGTTGGCCTCACACAATTGGAAACAGGCATGTTTACTTGTCACCTTGTGATGCAGCTACTACAACTGGCAAGAGCCAGGTCGCCTGTACCATACAGGGTCACCTACCCCATGCTGCCCAGAGGATGAGGCAGAGGCTAGAGGCAGACACAGTAAGGGGAGGACCTAGCACTCCCAGGATCATTGGGGTCCTGGTAGGAATGCAGCCCCCAAGACCCAGGGTATCTGCCCTGTAAGCTAGCAGCCCTGATGCCTCTGAGGTAGGGCGGCCAATCCCCACCTGGTGGGGAAATGAAAGGCTTACTAAGGTGAGCTGGGGGCAGGAAGTCTTGTGTCTGCAGATAGAAATCGTGTGCCCTGGAAAAACTGATGAGCTGTAGAGAGATGCTTGTATGACTTCAAAGGCCAGTGACTTATCACACATAGAAGAGAGAGGCCAGGCTAACACCTGATGAATTCTAAGAACAGAAGAAGAGAAGTCCAGGATCCAGGGAGGATAAACTGGGGATATTTTGAGTGATGGATGGTTCTGAAAAACCTATTCACATAAACAATGTACTGAGCTAGGACTAGTTCTGTGAATCTTGAACGATGCCGCTTAGCTCAAAAGCTCCAGGAAGCCCCCAAGTTCCCATTTGCTAAGAATTGCTGCTGGTGCTCTATTGATGAGTCTTTGCTATCTTTGTAAACCAACATGCAGGACCTTTGTTCCAGGGGATGCCCTGGTAGGGAAGGTCAAGGTTTCTGCCGCTCCTACACCCACTCCTGTGGTGGACCTCCTTGGCTGGGGATCTTGGTGGGTCTCTTTGCCCCTCCCCACTGTTACTGTTCAGTCAGCTGGCTGTTAGCAGCAGGTCTTCAAACAGCACAAAAGCAAAGAGGTTAAATTGAGTTTTCTTGCAGTGACAACTTTTTTCAAACTAACAGCAGGAGAGGACCACTTAATGGAAACTTTAGTGCAGGTTGTGTTGATCATTGGTGCAAACCCCCCCCCAAAACATCTATTCCCGAGGCCTCTCTCTCTTTCAAACCCAGGGGATTACATAAGACCTAATGATTCCAAAGAGCATCATCTAACTTGTATCTGATGGGCATGCCACACAATGAAATTCTCAATATGGTCGTCTCTTAAGGCCTATACTTCTCAGTTTTTATTATTAGTGTATCAAATCAATGCTAATTATTAAGAGCTATAATGCAAGTAATTTTGCAACTGTAAAGTAAGCAATTTTGCAGTTGTAGAGTACTGCTTTTCTCTTACCTGCCAGCCCATTTACTCCAGTTAATCCAGCTGAACTTGAAATGCAAACCAAATGTCCGTGGTCATTTGCAATCATAGCAGGGAGAAAGGCTTTATAAGTCTAAGAAGAGCAAAACAAAACTTTTAACATTTAATATACCACATGTATACTTTTCTTACATGTTTGTAGGATCATTTTAGTTAAAATTTTTTTTCAGTTCATAAAAATATCTAAAGGTACTGGGTTATAAAAACTTAAACATCTGGAAAGCAACCATTTTAACCTGCCAAATAAGTATTTTCCTAGGGAAAATCCAATATCATCCGAAATAATTTATTCAGACTTGTATTTTTGTTCATATTTGACTTTTAACAACATTAGTAAGATAAGAATTAAAGTAAAAAAAGAAAATCAAAGTAGTATAAGACAATCTTAACTGTGGCAGCCACAGTCCCAAACCTGACATGGTTACTAAAGATTTGATCACATAGATTTTTATTGCCTTGGCTTATGTTTGAACTCCAGATTTCCCTAAATATTATTCACAGATCATCTGTTGTTGCTTCAATTAAAAAAAAAGTTTTGTTTTATATAATAACTTCCTTCCTTCCTGTTCCCTCTCTGCCCTTCTTTTCCTATCTTTTTTCTTTTTCTTCTTCTTCTTTTTTTTTTTTTTTTGAGACAGGGTCTCCCTAGATAGCCCAGGCTAGTATGCTTGGGTTAATTTCAAATTACAAATTTCCCTGAACATTATTCACAGAGAAATCTGTTGTTGGCTTTGATTTAAATAAAGCATTTTGTTGTATGAACTCCTTTCATTCTTCCTTCCTCTCCCCTCTTTCTGTCCTCTCCCTTTCTCCTCCTGCCCCCTTTTTTGGAGACAGTTTTCCCATGTTATCTCAGGCTGGAATGCACTGGCTTTAATTCTGCACCTCCACCTCCCAACTAATTTTTCTATTTTTTGTCTCACTCTTGCTCAGTTGGTCTCAAACTCTTGGCCTCAAGCAATACTCTTGTCTTGGCCTCAAAAGTGCTAGGATTACAGGTGTGAGCCACCACACTTGGCTGAGTAATAGCTTCTTCTTTTTATTCTATTTCATAAAACAGAGTATCTGTTTAAAACAGAGTGGGTCTGAGTACTGTAGAACACCTTCACCTGTGATTGAGACCTAGAGAAAGAAGGTGACAGAGAGAAATAAGCTTTTGGAGAAAATGTCTTCTGCAACAAAAAGTAATTAATCCAATCTGAAGACAACCAGGAGGAAGTAAGAAAAGGGATCTCTTATAAAGGCCAGATATCCTTCACAGGCCCGCATCCCGATAGGTCTCAGCGTGAAACTAACAGATAGAGAGGGGAGGAAAAATGGAACAAACACAGGAACAGGAAACACTGAGGAATGGTAAAAAGCACCTGGGTCGGGGTGCCGCCAGGCCCTGCACTGCCTTTGAAAGCCCGACCATTGGGCCGCTCTCCGATTTTCTGCCAATAAATCACTACCTCTGTGTCTGGCAATGTGCAGGTGTTCAAAGAATGTATGTGAACTTGGACAGATGGAGTGAACAGAGTGAGAGGATATGAGAGGGTTCCTGAAAGCACCAGCATTTAAAGAACAGCTAGAAGGGAGAGAGGGAGGAAGAGGAGACCAAGAAGGGGATGGGAGGAAACAGCATGGTCAGAAGAGAACACACAGCTGTGGAGTGGAGACTTCTGCAGCGGGCACGGTCCTCCTCTTTATCCTAACTACATAGTGATCAGAACACAAAGAGGGGGATGTTTGGAAGGAGGGACATTATTTGCAGTAGTTCCTATTGGAACACAGTGGCCACTAAGTTCTGAATCTTTCTGTTTTTCTCCTGAATACCATACAGAACACCAAGAACACCACCAGCTCCATTACATTTTTGGTTGAAGTAGGGACCAGAAAATCTACAGGCTCCAAGTTACATTTGAAGGCTGCCAAAGAAGCAGGTGAGAAAGTGTAGGGAGAATGGAGGGGGAGCCCAGAAGTTTCCAGCAAATACTCTCAGGAGGAAAGAGCCTTGGCCAGGGTGTAAAGAGTGTTAGCAGAGCTGGGACCAAATGGGTAACAAGAGTGTCAGAGACCAAATGGGTAACCAGATGGGAGAGGCTGTAGGATGCGCAGGCAGGGCACCGGAGGCCCAAGACAGCTGGTCTCCACAGAGACAGGGAAAATGCATCTTTTGGAATGCAGTGCATCACTTCAGAAGTCAGGGCTGTGCCCTGGAGGCTTGTGGTCACCAGGCTGCTAGATGAACCTCCCCTTCCTCCAGTTAGGTACTGGGTGAGGAGACCATTGGCCTTAGTTTGCCCAAAGCAAACCTTATTAACACTTGTTTATTGATAACACTCCCTTTCACTTTCAAAACTGTCCCAACTTAGGCAAATTATACAAGTCACCCCAATCACATTTAAGTGCAGTCATTTGCTAGGCAGCCTAGAGCAAATCTTTTACATTCTGTGACCTCTTATCTCACTGTGTTGTTTAAGGAATAAATGTGAACTGCCTGGAAAAATCTCTAACACTTGACCACAATTAATAAACAGAAGAATAACCAGGAAGACAGTTCTGCCTTTGTAGGAGTCCCTGGGCAGAGGTTCTGGGGGCTGTAGGTTAATTGGGATCAGGAGCGCACAACTAGCTAGACCAGGACAAATTCTGAGCTGAGAAGTTGGTACTTTATTTAGAGGCTAATGCATTTGCAGAAGAGCAGGAGGAAAGTCCTTCTAAATGCCAGAGTAGTACTATGTTTATTATGTGAAGAAACAATAATTACCCATAAATGTGCTTTGAAATTTACATCAAATGACTTTTCCATAAGCTCATCTGGGCAGTCGAGGAACTTTTTTCCTGTTACGATTCCAGCATTGTTGATTAGGATGGAGACATCACCAACTTCCTTTTTAACCTGAATTGAATAACAAGAACAACACCACCAAAGTAGGAATTCCTTATATGAACTGGGTTCATATCCAGTGGTTCATATCCCATAGTTTTATATTTTTTTATACTTCTTAACTCAAGACTGAGTTTATGTACTCTAAAATTAAGATTGGTTTTATCTCCTTGGTCGAGTCTACAGGGCACCAGGGAGCCAATTCTGATGCTTTTTTCCTCCTTTCTTCCTCTCTGGTTAAGATGGTTCTAATGTTGAAAGGTTACTTTCCTTCTATTGTTAGAGATGTTCCTACATTCAATGATTAGTGACTTTGTTTTGTGCTCTGTACAACTGGCATACAGTTTTAATTAATGAAATGGGACATAACAATAGTTCTATTACAGCCAAATGTTATATAGATCTAGACTCAGCAGATGTGGAGATGATGGTGGAGTTGGGAACAAACAGAAGAAGAAATACAGTCACACATTGCTTAATGAAGGGGAAACATTTTAAGCAATATGTCTTTAGATGATCTCACCATCATGTGAACATCAGAGTGCACTTACAAAAACCAAGATGGCACAGCCTACTACGCACTCAGGCTACAGAAACCAAGATGGCACAGCCTACTACGCACTCAGGCTACAGAAACCAAGATGGCACAGCCTACTACGCACTCAGGCTACAAGGTGTAGCCTGTACAAACCTGTACCGCATGTTACTCTACTAAATGTTGTAGGCAACTGTAACACAGTGGTGAGTATTTGTGAATCTAAACGTGTCTAAACATAGAAAAAGTACGGTAAAGACAGTGTAATATAATAATCTTATGGGACCACTGTCATATACCTATAATCTGTTGTTGAATGGAAAATGTCATTACGTGGTACATGACTGTATGTATTTTAAACACACAATGCTGATTGGAACCTGCCTGTCTTGTTTTCATTAACCGTCTGTTTTTTTTTCTTTCTAAAGATATATTTTCTGAACTTGGAGTTTAGCTATGATCTAGGGACAAAAGCTTTCAAAGTTATGAGGACTCAGTAGACATAAAATGCTACCATACCACACTAAAAGCTTTTTCCTTTACTTGTCTAAGGGATACTTATTAAAAATTATCTGCTACTTTCCTTCTAAAATAAAAAGTGGAAATGGTTGGTTTATAAGGGTGGGGAGTTATTTGCTTCCCGTGAATTTAGAAGAGCACATATCTAATTCCCTCAAAGACCCCAAAGAGTCAGAAGCTCAAAAATGTGCTAGCAATATGACATTTGACCATTTCTGAAGCCAAGTACCTGGGTCAGAACTAAATCTCAGATTCAGGGAGAAGGGAAGTAATTATTTACAATGCTTCCTATAAATTTGCTCCATAGCTGATGATCTTCAGTGTTTAAATATGAATCAGTTATTGCTTAAACTGGCTAAAGAAGTTGTGCGCAGTGTAAGTCACCATGCTCGTGATTGGTGCTTAATGTATACACAGCTGAATTTGTGAGGTCTGCTGCAGTGAAGACTACGCGTCAGCAGGCCCGGGTTTGGAAAGCTGCTCCAGTGTAAGGCTGGGTGATCTTGTCAGCTTCGGATCTCCAGACTGTACTGAGCAGTCTATCTGTGAAAGTAAAACACTCACCAGCAGTGATCTACAACCTTAGCAAGGGATCCTGGTTGAGCCTAGAAACTATGTAAAAACTTTACAGTCTAGTTGAGCTGCTTATGGCAGATGTGGCTGACTCCACCCTTCTCACTAAATGGGGCAACTGTGGGAACCACAGACAAAGTGGTCAGGAGAGTGATGTGTGAAGTACGCAGGCCCACGTGGAGGCACAGAAATACTTATGGGGACAGGTATGTGCCTCTGTGAACCAAGCAAATCCTCACAGTTGGCACACTGGAGCTTTAGTTTCCCGAAAGCTTTCTTAATACCTGTGTCTGCACAATCGGCAAAGAAGCAAAGGAGGCTAAGAGTCTGTAGGATCAGTGACAGATTCTGATTTTCTTCTGGCCACTTGTGAGAAATACACATTCAAATGTAATGTAAGGGGTTGTGGACATAGCCTAGATTTAAAATCAGCCTAAATATGGGTTCAAATCCTGGCTGTGACGCTGCTTGGGTCATTAAATCTCTCTATAGCTCAGTTTCTTTACCCTGAAAGAAGGCTGCCTCCCTCTACCCTGTAAGAGGGGTCAGTTCAGGGAGTGTAGCAGAGAAGGTACTCAGGTGTCAACACGCTCTTGTGTGGGCTGTGTTTCTAAGCCTCAGTTTCCTTTTTATAAAATAGTACCAATAATGGGTTTTACTTTGTAGGGTTTAATATGTACAGGATACTCAACATTGTCTTGCATATTGTAAGAACACACGCATCTTAATTTCCACTCTACTGCAATATTTTTTAAATTAAAGAGACATTGGAGATAGGCTAATAGGCTCTGAGAAAGGCAAATGTACAAAGAAACTGACTTATGTCGGGGTACAAAAGTAAGCATCCAACTTACCTGATCGGCCACCCTGTACACGTCTTCTCTCCGACTGCAGTCACAAGTGTAGGCGTGCACTTGCGGGGCTCCGGCTTCCTGAACCATCCTGCTGGTCTCCTCATTCCCCTCCTTATTGATATCCCAGAGAACAAGCACAGACCCCAGGCGGGCAAACTGCAGGGCTAAGAGCCTTCCCAGGCCACTCCCGGCCCCTGTGATCAGGACTATTTCACCAGCAACGTTCTTCCGTGGCTTTGGGAGTAAGCCAAAAATCATTGCCTCCACCAAAGTAAACAGCAATTTTCCTACGAAAATGAGGAATTTCTTTGCTGACTGTCGCGTGGAAGACATGTCCTGGCTGACACCTATACAGAAAGACAGACTGATATAAAGATAGAGTAGTCTGTTTCCTCTGAGTTTTCTTAGTCCCCGGAGCTCTTCCATTCTGAACAGTGACAGCAACTATGAAATCACAGTGAGACAGTGATTTAAACTTCTCTCCTGCTAGCAGGCTCTGAACTCAGACAGGGGACTGTATCTTTGCCCAACTTTCTTACCTGGCGCCAAGCCGAGTGCATACCTGCATGCCTGGGGTGTGCTGTACACACCAGAAATGTTTATTCATCAGAAACTGTAACCACCTCACCCAAATTCAACCCCAAAGATAAGCTCACGATTTCCTCACAGTCTTTCTACACTGTTGGCCGAGTCCACCTCCAGTCTTGACCCTATCACCTTTACCATCTGACTGATCCACCTCTGGTACATTCTCTTTTTAGGTTTAGGCTTTCTCATTTGTACCATTTTCTTTAATTTTGCCTTAAAATCTTATCTGTCTAAAGTATTTGAAGTAATGAGATATTCTTTTTTTTAATTGTTGGGGATTCATTGAGGGTAATCAGATATTCTAACCTTGCCGGTGGGACCTCTCCACTCCTGGTCACTTATCACCCTGTCCTGTGACTGAAGGGGTTGCTGATAGCACAAGAATTAATGATCTCGGGCTATTCCGATGAAATATGATTATAGAAAGAACTTTTACAAACAAAAGTGAATGTCTGGTTCCCTATTACTTAAAGACTCTCCCCAGAAAATTGCAGAGTGTGTTAAATTGCATGCGGCCAGAGGCTTCTTTGGAGTCTCCATGCCACCGCCTACCCAGTCCAAATAGGTGAGCTTTCTCTCAGGGAGGTGAACAGGTGCCACAGCAAATATACCCAGGTTCCGGCTCCGGTCAGAGTGTGTAGAGAGGGATGGCTGGGCAGATTGACTGTCACAATTGGCAAGGGGTGAATTGGGGGTAGTAAGGTGGGGAAGGTGGGTAGACTGAGTCGCAGAGAGGAGGGAGCCTGGGCAGAATGGACTGAACAGGGCTCCCAGAGGCATCCCGTCCTCCGCCGCAGGTGGGGAGAAAGTCTGGCAGCTCACCCCTCCGAGACTTGGGGTTTGCTGTCCCCATGGGAGCCTGAGCCTTGGGTACATGGCAGCCGTGCGCTCCTGGGAAGCGCGGTGCTCTGGGGCTGGTCCCAGGTCAGCCCAGGGTTCGCTGGCCCGCGCCCTTAGAGCGCGTCCTCGCGTTAAACCCGCCCGGGGGCAGCCTCGCCTGACCCGGTCCCGGGCGCGGAGCCGGGGGGCACGACCTCCTCCCGGAGCCAGCCCCTGGGGCCATAGACCTCCGCAACTCACCCAGAAAGGCTGCCCTGGCTGTCGGCGGAGAAGCTGACCTTGTCTGCCTCAGGCACCCACGTCCCTGGCTCGCAGCTCGGCGAGGTTCGGGTGTTTATTACGGTCCCAGGCGGGAGCCCAAGTCAAGGGCGGGATGGCCACCAGCTCCAGGAGTCTGAGGTGGGGCCGCCGCTCCCCGGCTCCACGTGGGCGGGCGCTCTGGCCTTCTCTCCCTGGCAGGTGGATTTAAGGAGCTGGGGATTCGATCGTGGCGACTGGACGCGTGCGCGGGGATTTCTCATAGGGTTAAAATTTCCAATGCTCAGGCTGCACCCTGGACTATTAAATCCGAATGTCTGGGTTGGGAGGGGCCCGGCATCAGCTTGAGAGAAGTTCCCCAGGTGTTCGCAAAGCAGAGCCGGGAGGTTGGGCTCCACAGTGTCTGAGAGCTGGAGCTGCAGGCGCGGGGCGCCGGGAGGAAGGGCGCAGACAGGTCTCTGGAGCCCGCAGGGCGCGTGTGAGCAGCGCTGCCTGCAGCAGCCTCGCCGTCCTCTACTCGGGGTCCCAAATCAACAGCTTCTGCGCCCGGGAAGGGAAGGTAAGGAGTGTGGGCCTGGGCTGGGAGCGGCGCTGGCGGGCAGCCCAGGGGAACAGGGCGAGGGAGAGAAATTCTGGGAAGGTGAAGTTGAGAAATAGAGTAAAAGTCAGCAGGGCGTTTTCACCCAACCAACCGGTATTTGTTGAACATTATCTCTGTGTACAAAGATCCAGAAGATACAGCAATGCTATGTCTGTGAAGAAAATATGTATATATAAACATTCATTAATAAAACGAGCAACAGATCTAATGTAAGCGCGTGCGTACTGAATGCTTGTATGGGCGGGTGGGGCGGAGTTTCATGGGTAGAATGAGGAGCTGAAATGACTCTAGATTGTGAGATGTTGAAAGAAAAACAGAGACTCAGGACACGATGGGACTGGAAGTTATCCCGGAGCTGGGTAGGATAGAACTAGTGGTGAAGGCGGCAGAACAGTGATAGCCAGGGCACATCTGGGACGGGCGTGAGGGTGCAGGAAGTGGCACATTTGCTCTTTATTTAGAGAAGAAATAGGCAGGTCCCATGGGTCTGGAAAAGCGGCACAGAAGAGAGCCCTATCTTTTCAGTGCTACCAAGGTTTCCTGTGTCTTGAGGGCTGTGCAGAGAGCGGTGGGATGCTGCAGGCATGTGGGTGGGGCAGACACGCACTGGTTGCAGGTCAGCCAGATCCCCAGGGCCCTTCTGTGTCCAGCTCTGAGGAGCTGCCCAGCTTCTGAGGGGAAGGCAGAGATATCTGGGAAGAGCACCATGGCCATGGTAGACATGAACCCAGGTGCTTCCCTGGTAAGAAGTGGGGCACCCAACGAGTCTGCAGAAGGAGAGATACCTCGGCTGGATGTGGAGGTGAGCAGCCCCTGGAGGTGAGAATGGAGAGAGGGGTTGGGAGATGGGCCTCAGGTCAGGCAGCTGCCTGCAGGAGTTCAGGTGGGAAGTGAGAGTGGAGAGAGGGGTTGGGAGATGGG